GAACTTTATTGGCTTTATTGTAAGTCTTTATTGTTTCATTAGAATTTTGAGGACAGGATACTTTACGTCATTAATGTTGCACTTTCAAAGAAAAATTCCCAGATGACATCAGTTAGTTCCCAGTAAAGACAGGCTCTTAAAGTAGCCCTCTAGTTTTCATTTCACAAGGCTGCCTCAGCTGCACCTAGGCCTTTCATCAAGCTGTTTGGTAAGATGCTGTTATACTAAACAACAGGCGTTGGCTGAATAAAGTTGCTGTGATATTAGTTGACTGAACTCCTGAGCTGTGTCTGCATAATGATGGGCCACGCACCCTTTCCTGAAAATATGCACAAGACATGACATGTAGGTGGATTACTGTAAAAGTGCTCCTCATCGTCTGGAAAAACGTACAATACAGCCGGTGTTTCACAATCCAACGCTGGTGGATAATTCAGGTATCGATATTTGACAGCTCAGCACACATGGTAACATGATTCGCCCACATTCTCTCTCCTTCTCAGCTTGCTACCTGCATAGGCTCATTCTTTTACACTGAAACAACCACAGTATGAATGAGGTTTACACTGACAGGTTCCCACTGGTAGACAATGTAGGTACTACTGTGGGAGAAAACAAGGGTGTTTGAGAGAAAGGAGAAAAACTGCACCAGGAGGATGAACTCAGATTTAGGTGGAGGCCTTTTTAAAGAACATGTAACATACAGTGAGGTCCAAAAGTCTGAGAACACTCATGAGGAGGCCTCTATTTTGCATTTGATTAGAATGCAATATTGAATGATTTATTACAAAGAATGATGTCAGCATAACAGTTTAAGTGAAAAGGTGAATCTTTGTCCATGACTTTCAGAACTTTATTTTTGTTTGTCCCACTTTTGCTCTAATGACAGCAGAAGTATTCTGTCTTACAACTCAGACTCACAGCAGTCCGTGAAATAGTCACGAAACTTCCTGCTGTGAGACTGGGTTGTGTCATATCAGCAGTGTTCATCTACACCGGGGATGGGAAACTGGCGGCCCGCGAAATAATTTTCAATCAATATCTAGTTTTTAATCGTTGGCTTCACTGCTTTTGAAGCAGCAGATTGTCGCAACCAAAGGTGTAATTTTGCCTCCAACCACTAGAGGCGCAAGAGACCTTCAGCTAAGCAAGTAGCTGCTCTCTTCTTCATTGAACACAGGAGCTCGACAATCTGTGATGAGATTTCCGCGCCAACAGAAAAACCTCATTTTTCAGGCAAGATGGGAAACAGATTTAAATGGCTGCATCCTTTGGTTAGATATGATGATTCCTTTTGGTTTTGCATTACCAAGGCATGTTTTCAAAAGATGGGAGGTATTGACTTTTTACTACGATTTGACTATGATGTACACAAACTGCCTGTCAAATAATCAGATTTCCACCAGCAAGTTCTCCTCCAGTGGAAATTGTTACAAAGCCACAATTTTGCACCACACAATACACCACTTTGGAACAACGGATTCATTCTATGCAATAGAAAAATCATTGTTTTTAAAAACCTGGATGGAAAAGGGAATTTGGTCTTTCACCCACCTAGTAGATGATTCAGGTGAATTATTAAGTTATCAAGATTTCTGTAGAAAATCCAACTTTCACTGCCCAACCCAAGAATACAAAAAAGTGATTTAAAAAATAAATAAATAAATAAATCCCATCCCTTTTAAAACAATGATTCAACAGATCAGGGTGCATTCTGGTATTACAATAGAACCAAGGCCACTTTGTATTAATGGTATCCACTTAAACAGTTTACTGTTCAACAACAAATTCATTCAAAATAGCTTAACAGCTCATTGTTCCCCTTTCCAGATAAAAAGAAAGTTAATTCTAAGAGACTATGATGCAGCAACATCCAGGAAAACAGGAAAAAGATTTCTGTCATAGCCAGTTTTCACTAAAACTAAAAATCCTACATGACATTTACCCATCGAACAACCGCTTACATAAAAAATGTAACTTGAATAATAACTTGTGTGGATTCTATGAAAGAGAAATTGAGACAACAGAACATTTATTTTTCCACTTTAAGTATGTACATGAATTTTGGACAACATTTCAAAGTTGGCTTCATTCAAATAATATCTCAATGCACCCTCTTCATATGTCCTTAATTAAAACTGGTGTATTGTTGGAGGAGAAAAACTTGGAAGTACTTTTAAACAACCTGATTCTGTTGAACAAACATTCATTGATGTATATATCCAGAGAATAAACCCTATTGTAATGAATGGAAGAATAAACTCAGAACATTCATTATTTTTGTTTTTCTGTTTGTTATTCCTTTATGTTAGTGTTTTTCTGTTTTAGAGCTGCCTCAACACTTCGGAACATGTCTATGCAACGTTTCTATATGCCATGTTTTTTGTACATTGGAAAACAGATTACCTCTTTCCAGAGTTCAAAGGCAAACCAATGTGTTTAGTGTGTCTTGAGACAAAATCAGCCACGAGAGATTTCAATTTAAGTCGCCGCGGCAACACCACACACAAAGACGAATACAAGAAATACACCCTGTCGGACTGCCAGATGGTGAAGCAGTGTGCAGTAGAGGTGGCTAAACCTTTCGGAGATGACGAGTGACTGCTATATTTCTCCCTGGCGCTGGATGAGAGATGTGATAGATTTGAGCCATGGACTGGTTACCTGTCCAGGGTGTCCCCTGCCTTCGCCCTGAGTCAGCTGGAATAGACTCCAGCCCCCCACGACCCTAGTGAGGATTACGCGGTGTATAGATAATGGATGGATGGATGAAGCAGTATGATGAAAATTCACAGTTATGGTTGGTGGGGAAAAAATGTGGCCCTCTCTGTCATTAAAGTTGCCCATCCCTAATCTACACTGTTGCCCATACAGTTGGAATAAAATATAGATTTTTCACCTCTTCTCAAATGATTTGGACAAGGTGATTTATTCCTGATCAAATGTAAATCTTAAAACTTTATTGATATCACAATATACACACAATACATATCACAGTAAATTTAAACCACAATTAACTTTTGCAAACTGTGTGTTCAGGCTTAGAACTGAGGGTTTGTTTCAATTTTTCAACCTTGGTCAATTTAACAGGAAACATATTTGCAGTGATTTCATGCATTTGAATGTCCAATATTACTCTTTCAAATGTCACTCAGTTACGAATGTTGAGTCTGGCCACCCCTGACACGGATCAATGCGTTAAGACATCGTGGCATATTGTCTACAAGCTTGTTGATGGTGTCAATGGACAGGATGTCCCACTCTTCAGTCAGATCCAGAAGTCAGAATTGGTTTCACCTGATAACTGGGACTCAGTATGTGATCATTACACCTGGTCAGAAGTGATTACTGATGTGTATAAATAAAAATAAAAAGAGGAATGTGTCTGAAAACAAAAAATAAACAAAAATTATTGCAACTTTATGACTTTTTGTGTTCTTTATTTCCCAAATTCTATATCCAAATTCTGCTGCAAGGTGGCTTGCTGGTTAGCATCGTTGCCTCGCAACAAGAAGGTCACCGGTTCGCATCCCGGTGAGGACACCCGGGATCTTTCTGCCTGGAGTTTGTATGTTCTGCCCGTGCAGCGTGGGTTCTCTCCGGATTCTCCGGCTTCCTCTCACAGTCCAGAAACATGTTGAGGTTAATTGGTGATTCTAAATTGTCCGTAGGTGTGAATGAGTATGCTTGGTTGTCTGTCTCTAAGTGTAGCCCTGTGATAGACTGGTGACCTGTCCAGGTGAACCTGCCTTCACCCTGAGTCAACTGGGATAGAATCCAGCCCCCCATGACCCCAGGGAGGACTAAGATAGATAATAGATAATGGATGGATGGATGTTCACCTGGTTAGGATCATTTTCAAGCATTTTCACACGACACATAGAGACAAAATCAAGTTGTTTTTTTTCCTGCTACTTAACATCTGATTTGCCACAATATTAAAACCACCATATTATATATATATATATAGAACAGTTAAATTAATTACGTGAAAGTAAAAATTGCAGCTACAAATATATGGATAACTGCCACAAAGAAGTGAATAAATGGCCAAAGCAGATCATCCAACATATTTTTGGACTGTGGGAGGAAGCTGGAGAACCCGGAGAGAACCCACGCTGCACAGGGAGAACATGCAAACTCCACGCAGAAAGATCCCGGGTGTCCTCACCGAGACGCGAACTGGTGCGACCCTGCAGCCCCATGATGAATAGCATCCAGTATAAAATAATCCAAATTAGCACAAAGCAGGTTGTGGTAGTAAATCACATGAAAAAGGTTGGTGGCCACTGTTATATGTCATGATTATGTTGTCATTGTTTTCCCCAAACTTCACATTTGTTACTCCACACTATTCCACATAGGAAACCAGATCTTACAATAATGCACAAAGTACATTTAAATAGTAGAATCAAGTATCTGATTCGAGCAGATAAATGACACCGTGCACTGCACTATAATGTGTTACCTAACGAGATGTAAAATGGCAAAATAGTTTTGGAGCAGATATTTTTCTGAATAACTGTAATCAGAACATGACAGAGAGGTCCAGAGGTTGTTCACAAAGACAGGCCCAGACAGCTTTCTGAAATTTTTGCAGCAGTCTGTGACGTTAGCCAGATAAATATCTCCTGCATAGCTGAGAAACAACAGAATTCAACATTCCTCTCTGCATATCTGCATCTTCTCACAACTCACCTTACTGCATGATCTTAAGCGTGTATGTTCCTGAATTTGTATTCACTTTTTAAACTCATTTCTTTTTAAAACTGCAAGGGGAAGCCTTTACAATACGTATACATGGGGAGTTTCTAATTGTAACTCAATGTTGGGAGAGTATTCTTCTGAGACGTCCTGGGAGCTGACAGCATTTGTGTTTATTTGCATTCTATAGTCCTTAGTCTTTCAATTCAAATAACTTTATTTATCCCCTAGGGGCAATTCAAAGGCTCACTGAGAAGACATCAAAAAAAAAAAAAGAAACACGCACACACACATCATCAATATCACGTTATATTACATGGGAGGAATTTTGGAGAGTCAGGGGACATGAGTTCCAATCTGTTAAGCACCGTCCTGATGCCTTTGCTTTAGGGTGGATGTTGACCAGAATAAAAAAAAATAGATGGGGGAATTCCCTAGGAAGGTAAAAAAAAAAAAAAAAAGAACGAAGGGAAACAACCAGAAGTTCAGAGTCCGAGTTGCACAGTCTCTCCTTCACTTTCACAGTCGAACGCCACCGTTTGTTGACATACTGGCACACACCGCCACCATGTGTCTCGTCTGTCAGGTGACTGTCACGCTCGAGCCTCACTGGTGTCCCAAAGCCGTCTGTATGCAGAGAACTGTCACAGTCATTGCTGCTTAGCCAGGTTTCAGTGAATGCCAAAATTGCAGTAGTCCTGTATTTGTGCACATACGCCGAGTTAGCTTGAAGTTCGTCTGTCTTGTTGCGTAATGAACATTGGCTAGGATGACTGAGGGAAGCAGCTGGTCATATGCTCATCTAGTCTTGACATCAGTAGTGGAAAGCAGGTTAAATTTTCTGCATATATACAGTCTGTAATCTGCATAATCTAATGCAGCCAATCCAGAAGCTCTGCCATTAGGTTCACTGTTATAAAGCTCCCACATGTTTTCAAACCAATGCAGTCCAGAATGCCAACAGTATAAAAATAAAAAGCACTTTAATTTCTGACACACATTGGCTGATATTACCGCTGTACATTTATTTAAGTAGATATCTGAAACACTTTAACTTGTAATGAAGCGTTTTACAGAGTGGTATTTGTACTAGTAGTACGGTATATCCTGCACCTCTTCAGGCTGTACATTCCTTCCTTGTACATAGCTGTGGTGTTTTCTCTCATTACATCCTTCTCTGGTTTCTCTAAACAACTGTCAGAACAAAAGCTGTGGAGCCGCTGTGGTGCATCTGTTAAAACCAGTTAGATTACATAAACCATGGAAAATACACACCAGGCCAAATGTAACAAATGCCTCAGCTGCAACAGTGCAAAAGCTAGTGTCATTTATCACAAATCAAAAACCAAGTCATAGTGCTTAAACACAATACATGGGCAGGACTTTCCCTGCACTGTATCCACATCACAGCTTTGAAGCACACAACAACACAGAAAGTACAAAATATAGACAGCAGCTTGGTACAATACTTAATACTTGTGCAATAAATTAGCCTGTATATGAGAGAGTGTCACTAGTTGATGATAAGTCATGACTTTGAGCCAGTTCTGACTTTAGAGATCACCATCAGCAGATTCAATATAAATCTGCAAGAAGAAGCCACACTGACAGATAACACAACTAATATGCCAGTCACCTCTCATTACCGGACTTCGTTGCCGGTAATGCGGAAGTTCTGGCGGAGTCTGATTGTTCAGGGACTGCGACGCACGGAAGCGCTCCTCCGGTGAACCGACGGTGACTTATCTGATCGGAGCTGATGACTCTGCCGGCGACTCTGCGTCCGTCTCCACAGGTTTGCGGTAAATAACTGAGCCTCTGAGGCCGGGCAGAGACAGCTGGATCCGCTGACTGAAGTTCTGAAGCTTCGAGATAAACTCATCGTTTCCAACAATGTACATCAGCGGGTTCAGTGCGCTGTTCAGACAAGCCAGGCATCTGCCAACCTGGTGCGCAATGTAGACGTCGTCAAAGCTGTCGTGACAGAACCCCTCTTGTTTCAAAATTCTGGTTTTCAGATTAACATTTCGAAACACGTGGTAAGGAATAAAACAGACTGAGAACAGAATCATAATCAACACAACCAGTTTCAAGCAGCGCTGCTTCAGCACAGGGTTGACGTTTGCTTTCTTGGCAAGAACCACAACAATGTGTCCATAACAGACTAAAATGATAACCAAAGGTAAGGCGAACCCAGTGACGGTCCAGCCGATGCTGTAAGGAAGGTAGTCTCTGGTAAGGTTGTTTGAGGTGGTGTCAAAACACGCGTTTACTAATTTTTCATCATTCTTGTCAAAGAACATATCGGGGATAATCTGAATAATGACCAAAGCCCAGACCAGAGCGCTGATGGCCAGAGAGTGGCGGCTGCTGATTTTTCCCATCACTCTCATGGGGTGCACGATGCCCAGGTACCTGTAGATGCTGATGCAGGTGAGGAAGCCGATGCTCCCGTAAAGGTTGAGGTTGAAGCAGAAGCGTGTCACCTTGCAGAAAGGCTGGCCGAACTGCCAGTCGCTGTTGCGTGCGTAATAGTTAACGAGGAACGGCAGTGTGAAAAGGTAGAGCAGGTCCGCCACCCCCAGGTTTAGCATGAAGATGTTGATGTTTCCGATGTTCTTCCAGCTGCTGTACACGCTCCTCAGCCCCCAGATGTTGGACAGCGTCCCTACGATGAACACGCTGATGAAAACGGCCGGCAGGAGGCTGTGCGTAAAATTCTGATTGATTCTACTGCAGGCACCGTGCGTGATATTCCCAGACATCTCTCCGGTGCTCGCTTGGTTTTTAAAACCTCTTTGTCATTCAAACTGAACTGTCCAACAGAAATGAAACAGTGACCAGCTGGCCTGTCCTCTGCTTCTGTAAAACACAACTGAAGTGAACATGGAACCGATGTGCCCGCCCCTTTTCCAGCTCCGTGACTCGAGCCATGCAGGCGCGCTTGGAAAGAGAAAGTAAGAAAGTACAATGACATACCGGACATTTACAAACTACTGATAACAAGATAGGATACGTTTTATTATTTCTATCTGACATGACTCGGGATTGGAAACTGCTGAACCGGATACATGAACACATTGACTCATTACTGCTATAACTTATAAATGACTTCTTGGCTGTGCCAGCTGAAATGTTCACACACACCCTACTTCTGTCAAACAATGATTATGCAACAACTTTACAGCAAGGAGCCTTGTGAACCAACACCTAAATCAAGTGCAGATAACCAAATGATCCATGTGATTAGATGTCATTGATGTCATGTCTTTATGAAAACATTCCCCCTCCTTAAAAGTTGTCCTCTTTAATTGCTTTTCAACATTGAATCATGGTCAGTATGCCTGAGCTTTTTTGTTGATAATTTACATAAAAAGACTCCTTCATGTCAAACTGAAAACAGATTTTTATAAAGTAATTTTTTAAAACTAAAATAAGTGATTGTGTAAGTATTCACCCCTTTTAATTCTGTATCTTATGTATGTAGATATTCAGCTGCACAACAATTAAAAACAACACTGGAACAGTAAATTCAGAGTGAAGTCTTACTGAATGAATAAACCACATTTCTGTTCTTGTTGACCGGTTTGTATGTTATTCAGATTGGTCTGAAAACTGAAAATCAAATCTGTTTAGTCTCTGTCCAGATTTGAAACACTATATTTAAATGTGTACATTTATATGATTTAATGTGCAGTCATATAACTCATGGAATTCAAGTGTCCATGATGTCTGTACATTTTGTCCAACTCAAATCTGTATTCCGATCTGTATAATGTGGTGCTATTAAAAAGATTAAATAAAGATTTTAAGCCCCAAATAGTTTTGAAATCTAAAAGACTGTTTGCTATTAAAAAATAAATAAAAAATGTAAAAAAAAATAAAAAATTGTGACCCCACAGGTGGTTTGTACACTCAACTTCGAGAATAACCTCTCGTGGCTGCATTACTTAGCTCATAATCAAAGGAGGATGTCAGGTGACTTTGTTTTCGATCCCTAACATCAACATCGGGAGGAGGTCAGGGCGGATGATCAATGAAACAGTGGATTTTAACATAAGTCACTCTCTGTTCATCGCCTGTCTCACACCAACAATCAGCTTGTTCCTTTTCAACCTCAGATCTGCGCAATGATCTTCTAACCTTAAAGCACTTATTTATTTAAAACCATGATCTTTTCCTGAACCTCAACAACTTCTTTTTGTGCCTCAGCATAACCAAACAGAGGCATCATATGAGAGAATAAGGGCAAATGTTATTGTTGTTGAGAAAAAAAAGAAACAGACTGTTTGGCAACTAGCCAATCAGCATCCTGCCTGCAAAACGATACCAGCAGTGCAATTTGTCCGTGTGGATGTTTAGTGGTGGATCACTGAAGAGCTGCTACATACAGTATGTGTCCATGTTTGAAGACAGGGAGATATTACAGCTATGGGTGCTGCAGTTCAGAATTTATGGTTCATTTCAGTATTCTTATTTTTGATTTATAGCACAGACTTTATAACTCTTGTGTTCTGGTAAGCATACAGTGTTTCATATTAAACTTTCATGAGACCAAGTCTCACTCCTTTTCCCCTTAAAGCCAGGTACTTGCCTCCTCACAGCTTACACTATGACTTGATGGATGCTTTGCAAGTCCCCCTCTGGGGAGGAAAGCTTGTGTCACACATTACTTCCCCACTTCCTGCAGCCTTTGCGTGTTTTCCAATGAAATTTAACAGGATTCAACAGCATTAAGAATTTCCCAGTCCTTGATTTTTCAGCAAATTTCCTGGAACCTTTAATCATCAGTTTCTGAATGATGAACTATTACACAGCTGTAAATTCCTGGAATGTTTTCAAGAAGGTTTAAGACCAATTTGATATTCATGGAATAAAATAGAGAAACTGTTAAATAATGGGAAATTATGTGGTGTAGTAACTGAAAAATATTTCATAAACTGATGCCAATGTTTGTCAGATAAAGTCGTAGATCGTAAGAAAAGGGAAATTCTAGATCAGACAGGAAATGAGCCCCTCGGAGTCATTGTGTTTACAGGTCCATTCCATGGAAATGAAATCAAACATGTTTAGTGGGGAAGAATGTCATTTAACCAATATTCTGTAAACTTAGTGGAACTGCATGTATTGCACCTTAAAGTGATAAATAATCCACATTAAGAAATGTTCTCAGGACATTCTGAGGTATACTGATGTTGGTTCAAGAACAAGTTTTCTCTTAGACTACGTAAGCACCACCATTTCTTATTTTTTCTTGAGAACTTGATAAGTAGTGCTCCGTACGGTACTTGATAACTATAGCGACAAACCTTTTTAACATTCTATTGATAATTACTAGCAAATTTTGTAGGAAAATTGTTTTGTAATTTACAGCTATATAAGCTCATTTTAAGGGAACACACAACAAATAAAAAAAATAGTGTCATAGGTTTTTCCAAACAGAACTTTATATACTGTGTGTCCACTCCACAAGGTTTTAAATGGAAGCAAGTGGTTGGGCTGACAGGCCACCCCCGTGGTGCTGATGCCTCTTTCCCACTGGAAAGGAACATTGAAAATGAAAATAATTGTTGTGTGTGTCAAACTGAGAGTTTGTGAAAGTGGATTGCTTTGATGAGCTCTCATGGGTCAGACAGCACACATGCAGGCTGAAATGTTATAAACTACAGCTCAGAGTTTCCTGAAAAATAATGTTCACACTGGTGTGTTTCACATAAATGTTGGATTTTCCTGACACCCTTTTGGTATTGAAAACTGTTTCATCACAACCCCACAACAACAATTTGAGTTCTTCTAGACTGTTGTATCATGTGCCCAAACATCCGCTGATGTGAACTGATTGGCAGATTTTATGCTGCACAAGGAATAGCTGAAAATCATTCAAGCGCTTCAGTGTTTTTGCGAAAAGTCTGGCATAGATGAGGTGAGGGATCTGGGGAATTTTGAGAGTGAGCAGGAGTATTGTCCTGCTGGCTGCTTGCATTGGAGCTTTGTGCATACGTTAAGGGAAATAAGTATTTGATCCCCCGCATATTTCAGGATTTTGGCCACATACAAAAAAATGAGCGGCCTATGATTTTAATAGAAGGTTTATCTCAACTGTAAGGGACAGAATATCACACAAAAAATAATCTGGAAAAACACATGATCTTACATTTATAAATGAATTTCCAGTTGATCAAGGGAAATAAGTATTTGGTCCCCAAGCAAACATGACTTAGCACTTGGTGGCATAACTGTTGTTCACAACCACAGATGTCAGATGTTTGTTTGATGTAGTTGGTCACTAGGTTTGCACACCTCTCAGGAGGCATTTTAGATGACTTTGCAGATTCTTACTAGATCATTAAGGTTCTAAGGCTGTTGCTTAGAAATGCAAAGCTTCAGCTTCCTCCATAGATTTTCTATAGGAGTAAGGTCCAGAGACTGGCTGGGCCGCTCCATGACCTTAATGTACTTCTTCTTGAGCCACTCCTTTGTTGCCTTGGCCGCATGCTTCAGGTCATTATATTGCTGGAAGACCCACCCACAATTCACTGTAAGTGCTCTGGCTGAGGGGAGGAGGTTCCTGCCCACGATTTCTCGGTACATGGCCCCATTTATTGTTTTATTGAAGTGTTGCTGTCATCCTGCGACTTTGGCAGTAAAAACAGCCACCTCTGTGCTTGACTGTGTAGATGTATTCTTGGGGTTATAGACAGCATTCTTCTCTCTCAAAGACAGCTGGGATAGGCTCCAGCTCCCTGTGACCTTAGTGAGGATTAAACGGTGTATAGATAATGGATGGATGTATTTTTTTGGCTTCCACATTTGCAAAGTCAGCAAGGAATTTCTAATTTTTGGCTGATTGTCATGTTTGTTTAAAACTCCAGTTGCAACTTGGTGAACTGGTTAAGAAGAGCTTTTACATATGATGACTCTTTTGGAAAAGCTTCAAAAGAAAGTATAACGAAAAGACTGCCAGTGAGTTATGTCTCAGAAAACTGAACCCTGGTTTTGTTGCTTAAAAATGTTATGAGTGGTAAAATGTGACATGAGAGGTAGAAGCAGGTGTTATGGTAGTAACGTAATTATCATGGCAGTAGCAGCTCTATCAGCATTAGTTTATGGTATTTAAAGTAGTACAGGAAGTATTTGTATTCAGACTAATGCATTTCAGCTTACAGTGCTCTGTTCAGACCAGCACATTGTCCTGGTCCACTGGGAAAGCTGGTGTTGTAGTCACACTGCAGCCTCTAATGGGTGTCACAGGGCAGCCGTTCAGTTCAGGCCTCACCGTCCTGCCTGGCACACACCTGACAGCACCCACAGCAGTGTGACCACATTGGAATGAAAACAGAGCAGTTTGGAACCGTAGGTAGATACAGACGTGGCACAATGCAATGCTAGCACCACGCCTTTAGAGAATGAAAGTAACA